AACTAAGATCTGCAGCCAGCATACCTCTTCCCTGGCAGGTGTGGCCTGTGGGTTCCCAGGGAGTGCCTGCTGGATTTGGGGGCCGTGAGTGGGTGGGTGGGAGAGCTTAGGAATGGAAGATCTTTGGGATCCACTGGAGATGGGTGGAGTGGAGGAAGAGAGGCTGCAGCTAGTGTTCTGCTGCAAAGCTGGGGTGAGTCAGGAGGATTGTATTTGGAGGAGCAGAGGGAAAAGTGAAGATCTGCAATTGGCCTACTTGCTTCCCTGACCAGAGTGTTTATCTCTATTTGTTATGTCTGCCAAAATATTTTGCCCATTTAAAAATGCACACTGTCTTGTTTTTGTAAATTAGCCTTATATATCATAGATATCTCTCAAGTATAAATATGCACTTCCATATATACACACACATACATATCTTGAATATTTTTCAAAATGAATCCTCTGACTTTTTTCTCAGGGGTGTCTTCTTAAATTATGGGGCATCATTTCCTATAATCATTTAAATTTTCCTCCCCTATTTTGGTTCTCAAGTTCAAGATCTATTTGTTTACTTGATTTTTTCCCCCCCAAATGTGTCACTGAGGGTTTGGACCTTTTCTCTCAGCCCATACCACCCTTTGCTTCTTTCTGCATTTTGCTTACTATTCTTCAAGTTCATGCTCTTATTCTTCTTTCAGATATGCTCCTTAAACAACAGTAAACTCTTCCCTCAAAATCCCAGCACTGGTAGACAAGATATATTTTGGGTCAAAAGTTTAATGTATAGATTGGTGTCTCCCTTCTTCTGCTGGGAGTTTCACCTGGTTACAGGAGGTCAACTTTATGCTCCTTAACACTCAATGCTTGGAGTCTCAGCTAGTGGCACCCCCATATACTCCTAGGATCCTCCCCTGTCCCAGAGATGCCCCCACTTCTGTTCTCTTTCCAGTTTTTCTCCTCAACTGCCCTCCTCCTCCCTCCATCCATCTGATCCCCACTGCCATTAACTTCCCCACCCTATCTTCCACCCAGTTCCCTCCCTCCACCTACCTCCAATGTCTACTGTATTTCCTGTTCTCAGTGAGAGTCAAGCATCTTCCCTTGGACCCTCCTTGGCTGAGGATCTGAGGATTGTAGTACAGTTATCCTGTACTACATGGCTAAAGCCACTTAAAAAGTACATACCAAGTACACACCAAGTGTGTCTTTCTGGGTCTGAGTTACCTCACTCAGGATGATTTTTTTTTTCTGTTCCATCCATTTGCCTACAAATTTCATGACTTCCTTGTTTTTAATGACTAGCATTCCATTTTGTAAATGCACCACGTTTTCTTTACCCATTCTTCAGTTGATGGGCATCTAGGTTGTTTCCAGTTTCTGGCTATTACAAATAAGGTTGCAATGAACATAGCTGAGCAACTGTCCTTGCTGTACGGTGGAACACCTTTGGACATATGCCTGGAAGTGGTATAGCTGGGTCTTGAGGTAGATTTATTTCCAATTTTCCAAGAAACCCCCAGGTTGATTTCCACAGTGGTTGTATAAGTGTGCAGCTCCACCAGCAGTGGAGGAGGGTTCCCCTTGCTCCACATCCTCACCAGCATGTGTTATCACTTGAGCTTTTGATTTTAGCCTTCTGACTGGTATAAGGTGAAACCTCAGAGTCATTTTGATTTGCATTTCCCTGATGACTAAGGACACTGAGCATTTCTTTAAGTGCTTCTCAGCCATTCGAGATTACTCTGTTAAGAATTCTCTGTTGATCTCTGTGCTCCATTTTTTAAATTGGGTTAAGAAGCATAGGGGCAAAGATGGAACAGAGATGGAGAGAATGTCAAACCAGTGACTGGCCCAGCTTGAGACTCACCCCATGAGAGGGCTGGCAACTGTCACTATTAACAACCCTCTGCTTTGCTTACAGACAGGCCTTTAACCTGACTGTTTTCTGAGAGGCTTCATCTGGCAGCTGATGGAGAGAGATGTAAAGACCCAAAACCAAGCAATGGGCTGAGTTCGGGAAGTGCTATGGAAGAGTGGGAGGAAGGATAGAGGGAGCACAAGGGGTTAAAGACACCAGGAGAAGACCTACAGAGTAACGTTACCTGGGCCCAAGGGGACTCAGAGAGACTGAACCACCAACCAAAGAGCTTGCAGGGACAGAACCTAGACCCCTTTACATATGTAGCAAATGTACAGCTTGCTCATCATATGGGTCCCCTAACAAGAGGAACAGGGGCAGTTGTTGAATCTGCTACCTTCCGCTGGGTCACTCTGCCCTAGCTGGGCTACCTTGTCACTCCCTGGCGGGAGAGGGCGTGCTTAGTACTGCGGTCTCTATGAGCCCCCTTGGGCCCAGGTTAGATTGATACTTATATAGGTATCGGTGGTTCTGCTGGCCACACTGTCTCCTCAACTTCACATCACAATCAAGATCTGAATACTCATGAAAGCCTTAAACCACTGAATTCCAAGCCAAGCAGCCTATGAGGTTTTCTTTTCTGAAGAGAAGTGTGACTACAAAAAGTCAAGCAAAGAAAGTGTTTTTTTTTTTTTTTTCAGAAGCAACTAAAATATTTGAAAATTTCTATCTTAAACAGTTTACATATTGACAATTTGTTAGTAATTCAGGCTGGGGTCAAAGAGTGTCATTCACATCTTATTCTGAATAAATTTGCACTGGAATAAGAAAGCTGATCACTACTTCTAGAAACAGGGTCAAGATCGAAAGCCCAGAGAGTAAAGGGCCCCTCCTTTTCTTTCTATTAGGAGTATTGGATCGAAAACTAATGTCATCAACAACCAACTCTCAAAAACATTAAAGCTCTTAAATAAACAAAAAACAAACATCAATAGAAATATAAACGAGTATATATGGGAAATTATGTCTAAATTTTCATTCTGTATTAATCCATGTTTTTAAATTTTAATTTACAAGATAAAATTCCATTAAAATCAAAGAAATAAGAACACAACTAAGTTTAGAAGAATAAAACCATAGCCAAAAAAAAAAAAAAAAGTTAAGTCTCTCAAGAGGCTCTAAAATGCTGCCTTTCTGGGGAAGCACAAATTTAAACACTGCTGTTGACATCTTTCACTTTTGTTTCTAGATAGGTGTAGCCTTCTGGGGCTTGAGTGTTAACTACTTTGTCTTAAGGAGACCAAATGGGTATATCAGAATCCATGTTCCTGGTCAGACCACTAACCTTCTTAAACAAAACTTACAACCAAATTATCCATGTGAACCCCATTGTTTTGTTTTGTTTTGAATTGTTTTTTTTTTTTTTTTTTTGTTATTTTGTTTTGTTTCAAGACATGGTTTCTCTATGTATTTTTGGCTGTCCTGGACTCACTTTGTAGACTGGGCTGACCTCAAATTCATAGAGATCTGCCTGCCTCTGCCTCCCCGAGTGCTGGGATTACAGGCATGTGCCACCTCAACTGGCCCCCATTGCCAATACCCTCCCCTCTACACCTGGCTATTAATGGGGACAAAGAACTGGGAGCAACTGGCAGAAAAATCTTTACCTTGTACCTGCTTCCCAGAGAAGTTGAGGGAGATGTTGGATTAGGACAAGATCACAGATGCACGATTGTATGAATATGTCATTTAAAAAAGGAAAAAAAAATAATGTGTTTAGGCCTTAAATGGTAAAGAATCCTGTCATTTCACAACATCATTTGCAAATGAGTGAGTAGAGAAGGGCTCTTAGTAGTCACAATGTATGAATAAAAATAAAGTATAGGTAAATGACAGAATTGCAAGAGATTATGCTAATATGTACATAATTTGTGTACATAATTATTAAACCACATTAACAATGCAAAAAAAGTATAAATGTACCAGAGTTTAAAAAAAACAAACAAACAACTTTTTAAGGTTAAAAAAGAGGAATGGTAATATTGGCTCACTTCATGGAAATCGAACATAGTGAGCCAATAACCAATCTTCCTTAATTAAGATGCGATAAACAAGATGAAAGTTATCACTTACTCTATTTTAACCTCCAACATAGCAATTTGCAAACAACCAGATGCTGATATGGTATTTCAATAACAGGCCGAAGAGTAGGATAAAACAGCACCTTAAGCCCAGCCCTGTTATTTTCTGAAACTTTGTAAACAGGCTTACTAACTTATGACGAATCCAAACATTTCCTCATATCTCAAAGAAGTACCTGGGCCAACAGGAATACAGAACCTGTTCATATGGTAAACATTGAACAGGGCAAGGCTTCTGCCCCAGGGCGGGGCATTCCTTCCGGTGGAGAGAGGTGGTTCCTTCAAGTTTTTCTTCCCTGTTCTGCCTTAGCAGGGCAATGTTATCATTTATTGAAATGAAATGAGGATGGCACATTTTGACAACAGAGAAAGCTGGTTCCTACTGTTCCGAAGCAATTTAGATCACTAAAAAGGCACAGGCACTATATCCCAGAGACGCAGCTTCAGGGCGCTTTCCCCTCCACCCCTGCCAACTCTCCCCCCCCTTCCCTATGTAAACTGTTGCAGGACCAAGGACCCTGTGTGAAAGACCTGACATCTCTTCCTCTGGAAGCCCAAAACCCACGTGAGCCCTCCTCTAGAGGAATATCCCTTCCCAGAGATCCCATTCCCACAAAAGCACTGTACTCATACTGGCGCAGCTTTCCCTCATCTGTGCCAAGCACACAGTAGGCCATTTCCCAAAACAGTTTGAAACCACAAGATGGTAAAATATCAGACATTAGAAAAACAACGAAATGAAAGTGAGTCTTCAAAACTGACAACGCAGGAGCAGTTTTTCTGTAACGAACTGAAAGGACCGTGGTTAACAGTCAACCAAAACCTTTACGGCCAAGACTGGAGAAAACTAATCTTGAGTTCTGAGGGTTTGCAAAAGGATCCGTGCAGTGTGAACTTGGTGGGCACGCACAGGCAAACCCAGGGGCTTGGCCGTTTCTCTTTCTCTTTCACAACGCCCTCCTCCAGAGGAAGAGTGGTCGCGGTACCTACGCGCCCCAGCCGTCCAGACCCTTACTCACTGCTGCCCGCCGCTCCGCTCCGTGCCCGAGCTCCTCACACCGCCCCAGGAAGAGGAAGGCGTTCTCCTTGGCACGCCTCCCCCGACGAGACCCGCCCAGCGGGCGCACACCTGACCAGGTGAGGGAATAGGTGTGCGCCCCGCTTTCGCCGATGCAATCCCTAGCCCTACACCCTTGCTCAGAACAAGCTCCGCCGCGTGCACCCGCTTCATTCCTTTGGAGCCTTCTGGACCACCCCCTCTCTCTAATCGGCGAAAACCCACTGCTGGGGCAGCGGTGGGGTGGGGCCCAGGGTCGGTGGTCCAACGTGGTAACTTAGCCCAGGGCGGCGGTAGCTCCGAGTCCGCAGGGCGCTGTCCCTGAGCTCACTGGCCACCCTGGCACGTCCTCATCCGCCCCGCTGGACACCGGGCCACCGCGACCTGCCCTGGGCGTCTTCCCGCCGCCACCCCGCCCTCACTGCCCAGCGGTGCCAGCAGACCCCGCCCCCGAGCTCCGCCCTCGGGACGCCTTCTGGCCCCGCCCCCCTGTGGCGTGCGGACGTAGCGCAGCAGACTGCGCAGGTTTACGCGGGAGAGCCCTTGCAGTGCGCATGCGTCACGTCCCGACGCGGTTTCTGGGCGCCAGGATCTGCACCGGAACATGGCAGAGGCTGGGTCCAAGTCAGTGCTGTTCGTGTGTCTCGGTAAGGATGCGCCGACCTCAGAGCCATTTCCTAGGGGACCCTGAAGCGTTCCCTGTGTTAAGCTCCTGAACACTGGGCAGTGGCGAGCGGAGACAGAAGGGTCTTGCCTGGGCCCGTGTCTAAGAACGTGGGCTTTTTCGTACCCATCCCCCATCCTCTGGTACTCCTCTGAACCTAAGACCGATTTAGTTTTGTCCCAGATTATGCCCCTGCTCTCCTTCCTGCCCTTCTCAAGCCATGTCACCCTCTCAACTGCCCTTTCTCCACAAGCCTTTGTCCTACTCCTTTCCCAAGCCTATGACTCCTCTCATATGCCTCTCCTCCACCCTTAAGTCTTGTGTCGCCCTTACCTGCTGTGGTATTCACTTCCTTATCTCTGTTGCTAAAATATCTAACGAGGGCAACTTTAGGGAGAAGAGATTTGTTTTGGCTCAGTTTCAGAGGGTTCAGGCCATTTTTTTTTTTTTTTTTTTTGAATGATTGTTGATTCTGGGCCTGTGGTGAGGCAATGCATCGTGGCCATCAGGGTGGCCAGAGCACTAATCATGACTCCTCATTCCATGTGGACCGGGAGCACAGCATGGGGGACGTGGAAGTAGAGATCTAGACAAACTTTAGCTCTGAGAACGTGCACCGGTGATGTGCTTTCTTCTGCTAGGCTCCACATCTCCTTTTCATCACTTCACCATGTGAGTGAATCCATTGTGAGTCTAATGGATTGAACCATTGATGATTTCAGAGCCTCTATTGATTAAATCCAATCTAGGTATGCTGTCACCAACATATTGAGAGTTGTGTTTTTCAGATCAGTCAAGGTCACAATGAAGATAAATCATCACCCTGCCCTTTCCTCAAACTTGTCTTTCACCTACCTTGTTTTTTCTCCTCCAAACCCTTTCACCTGCCAATCGGTCCAGGTGGCTTCATATCTCTAGTGTGACTACCTAAGCTGGCCACTGCTATTACAATGGCTAGAGATTGTGGTTCCCCTTCATTGTACCAAGCTGAGCCTAGGCTGCAGGAAGAACATTCTGTGACATGAGTGTCCCAGGCAGGTTTGTTCAATGTCATCTTTGGCTCACAGTTGCTGTGGCTCTCAGCCAATGATCTCTCTTCTTTAGGTCTCTCTCTGAAACCTTGATTTTCAGTCCCTGGGACAATCGCTCAGTTTTGCTACATGAAAAATTGTTTTGTTTTGTTTTGTTTTAAGATGAATAGTGTTTCAAATACTTTCTAATCCAGAATTTTCATTCTCAGAATTTCAATGCTGATTCTCCTTTACATAATATATAATTAATATATAATTAATTTTTAAAGTTTTTAAAAAATTTATTACAATTTATTCACTTTGTATCCCAGCTGTAGCCCCCTCCTTCAGCCCCTCCTAATCCCAGCCTCACTCCCTCTTCTCCTCCCGTGCCTTTTCCCCAGTCCACTAATAGGGGAGTCCTCTTCCTCTTCCATCTAACCCTAGCCTATCAGGTCTCATCAGGACTGTCTGCATTGTCTTCCTCTGTAGCCTGGTAAGACTGCCAAAGAGCCAGCCACTGAGTTCATGTCAGAGACAATCCCTGTTCCCCTTACTAGGGAGCCCATTTGGAGACTGAGCTGCCATGGGCTACATCTGTGCAGGGGTTCTAGGTTATCTCCATGCATGGTCCTTGGTTACAGTATCAGTCTCAGGAAAGACCCCTGTGTCTAGATTTTTTGGTTCTGTTGCTCTCCTTGTGGGGCTCCTGTCCCCTCCAGGTCTTTCTATCTCCCCCTTCTTTCATAGGATTCCCTGCACTCTGTCCAAAGTTTGGCTATGACTGCTTTAATACCCTGCTGGGTAGAGTCTTTCAGAGGTCTTCTGTGGTAGGCTCCTGTCTAGAAATAAGCCCACAAACTTATGATCACCTCATTTTTTACAAAGATGCCAAAACCATACAATGGAAAAAAGATAGTATCTTCAACCCATTATGCTGGTCTAACTGGATATCTACATGTAGAAAAATGCAAATAGATCCATACTTATCACCCTGCACAAAACTAAAGTCCAAGTGGATCAAAGACCTCAACATAAAACCAGACACACTAAACCTGTTAGAAGAAAAAGTGGGGAAGAGCCTTGAACTCATTGGCACAGGAGACAACTGTTCAGAACACCAACAGCACAGGCTCTAAGAGCAACAATCAATAAATGGGACCTCATCAAACTGAAAAGCTTCTGTAAAGCAAAGGACGCTGTCATCAGAACAAAACGACAGCCTACAGATTGGGAAAGGATCTTTACCAACCCTATATCTGACAGGGGGCTGAATCCAGAATATATAAAGAACTAAAGAAGTTAAGCAGGAAAAAAAAAATCAAGTAATCCAATTAAAAAATGGGGGACAGAGCTAAACAGAGAATTCTCAGTTAATTTCTTTTCTTCAGAGTTCTTGCCTCATTGCCTCCACCCTGAGAGGGAAAGCCTAAATTGCCAACAGTCCAATTAGTTATTGAGGTCTTTGCCCTTCGTGTTTCCTACAGAGTAGCAATCCTCCTATTTAGGACAGAAGTCTGCCAAGAGTTATTCTGTCTGCCTCCCTTTATCTTTTCGACCCACCTGTGGGGACTGCCTTTAAGAAACTGTCTTTGGCCTGATCTGATGGTGTCGTTCACTTTACTGTTGTCCCTTATATTTTTGAAGTAAAAATGTCTTCTCCAGGCCATTAGTCACTTCCTTAATTCCACAGATTTCATTTTTATTTCACAGCCTGCTGAGTTCCTAGCAACAGTTATCTTTCTTGTGGTAATAGCTTGTTTTTCTTTATTTTTCCACTTTCAGTACACCGTAGTGTGTGATATTTGCGAGGTATCTGTACTAGTTATCTGTACAAGGTATCTGATGAGAAAAGTAAGACTTTGGCCTCATTTCATGTTGATAGTGTGCATTAAGATCTTTATTGAAGGCTGACTGGTGGGAAGAACACATTCTTTTAACAATGGTTTCTTTCAGGACCTTTTGGTATCCCATGGCTCTGTTTCTGCTTATCCTAGTTAACTATGCTGGCTTATTGCACCAGCGTGGCTTTTAAAGGGAATTATGCTTGGTGTATTTGTCTTCAATATAACTCGGTGTTTTGTTTTTGCCACCGGAGACAAACATAGTGGTGAACACCAAAGATGAGGTCCCATACGCTGTCAGTCATTGGTCAAGGAGTGCCCATGGCCTCACTCAGTTGGTGCAGAGTGTTCAGTAAAGCAGAAGAAGAGGGAACAGGGTATAGTTTGTAGTCAGGACTCACCTGAAGGTGACCAGTGAGCAGCGACTTGAAGGTGGGCAGGAGGCCTGTCGTTCTGGCCCAGAAGACAGCATGCGGTTTTCAGGTAAAAGTTGTAAACATGGAAGTCACCGTTCCTGGGTTTGGAGACCAGGCAGGCTTTCTCAGGCAAGATTTCTTTGCCTTTGGGCACCAAATTTGTATCATTCTTAGTACACGGGATCCATCTCTATAGTGGCTACTGTAGGGTAGGGGTCTGCATACCCTGGAAAGAGCTGGAGTAAGTCCTTGAACTTTGTGAGGTAAAAACTTCAGTGTAGTCACAGATGGCCCATAAGCAGTCAAGCTTGGTTCTGTTCAGTAGAACTTGTTCATAGATACCAGCATTGGGGCTTGATGAAATTTTCACATACCACAAGATTTTCTGCATTCACACTAGTGTTAATCATTTAAAAAAATTGTTAACTCTGGGCTGCATGTGAATTTGTTAGGCCATAAGTGATCACTTCTGGACCCCTATTTGATGTGTAGATCATGGGAGTCTGTGAGGACTTCAGTTTACTCTGAGCGAGAGAAGGCATGCAGAAATGGGGAGGGAATTTCTTCCATCTGCAATGTGGAGATTAGGCTTTAGGAGGCCCTGGAAGATGCAGGGGTAATCCTTCCTATGCAAATGAGTGCTAGTAAGGAGGTAAGTTGCTAGTCCAGGAAAATTTGAGGATGGTGCAGATGCATTCTCTCCAGAGCCCATTTGGAGTACAGTAAAAGCTGCTGTGTTTGAAATGCAAAAGTTTTATTCCTTCAGAACCTTTCATGGAACTGTTTAAGATCAAAGTACAGAAGCATCAGGGTTTCCTGGGGTTATTGGTTAAGAAGAGCTTCTTGTTCTTGCAAGATTGGGAGAGGCGCGTTTTGCTGTGTTAAGCTGGTTGATACCCCACAAAGGCAGATGTGGTCTTAGCTCTTGCCATATAAGGGAAACGAGGTCATGTTTAAGTTTCCAGGATATGTGGAAGGTAGAACCCGAGGCTCTGTGTTTTTCATGGTCAGTGTACTCACTGTTAATGTGTGTTTATATGTGTGTGTATAAATATGTATATATGATATTTTTATGATGGGTCAGAGGTCTAGCCTCAACTTTTTATCTTTTAGAAACATAAATTGAGAAGCTAGAGAGAAATTATTAGCATGAGTTTCCTTCTTTTGATCTTGTAGGTTGCATGAGGAAAAATGGTACTTTTAATCTATACTTATTTACCTTACTTTAAATACAGCTGCCTGGGGGGAAAGTATGAGTGAGTATGCTAAAATGATGAAATGGCCCAAGTTTCTGTATTGTAGAAAAACAAAAATTACTTCACAGTTAATGATAAAAAATTTTTTATACAGAGATGGAGACATCTTGCATTTTATTTTTACATGCTAAAATATTACACATCAGTTACTTACCAAAGTTCCAAAATACTTAGACAGCTAACTTGCCCACCACTGTTGGCTATATTGCCTGGATATGTGGTGATGTGCAAAAAGCCTTTTAGTGGTGAAACAGTAGTGATGGCAATCTTAATGAAAAAAAAAAATCAGGGCTAGGGAGAGCTTAGTTGGTGAAGATCCTGCCTTGTGTAAGGGACCTGGGTTTTATTTAATGTTTAAATAAAAGAAAACAAAAAAAACAACAAAATAAACTGTACATGGTAACATACATTTATTTGTTTGTTTGTTTATTTTGGCAGCAAACTTTTATAATCCCAGCACTGGGTAGGTAGAGGCTGTTGAGTCCCTGAGCCTTCTGGCCAGCCAGCCTATCTGACTAAGGTTACCCTGAACTAGTGAGAAACTGTCTCACAAACCAAGATGGACAACTTTGAGGAGTACCGCTCAACATTGTCCCCCTGTGCTTTGTATGCACCTGCATGCTTCCCTGTGCACCCACACATTACACAGAAAAAGCAAACAAAATTAGAGTGGAGTAGCATACGGAGGACATTCGAAGTGAGTTCCTGTCTTACCTTTAATGGTTATTCGATAAGACTTTTATTGCTATTGAAAAAAACCAAAACCCACAGTGTATAGCAAGAAGCCAAGTACTTACTTAGTTTTGTAGGTGTGGAAGGATGCACAGTCATGGCATGAACTGGTCCAGGGACCCGAGAATCTGTTTCATCACATCTCAGAATGTCTGATTGTATATCAAAAGCCAGGAGATTTTTGACCTGTCATACACAGTTTCTTGCTTGCTTTCTTAATTTTGGAGCTTATATAATACACCAAAATATGGTGTTTGTCTTGCTGTGTACCTGGAACAACGTCTGTCTTATCCCCTGCCGTCCTGGTTCTTGACTCCTGAAGCCAAGCAAAACTCCTCTAAGATAGGACATAGAATCAATGATTCCTCTAGTTTCCTTTAAGAAACCTGGAATGTAGAAATACTATTCCCCCATCTCCATCAAAGCCCTGTGTGCCAGCGTTGATCCTGCCCTAGGAGGTCAGATACCACACATCTCCCTGTGTTTGCTTCATTAGCAACTTTTCATTAGCGCTGCTTTGTCCAGTCACAGTCTATATATATCTACTCATTCTTATCAGACTCAGTTATAAACTATATATGCCAACTAGAAATGGGAAAACAGGACAGTTTTTCCCAACTTTTTGGCTCTTTGGTCTGAAGGTTTTCATGTCATGTGAAACTAAATCTTTCGTGTTCATCTCTTACAAACCCGCCTTATTAGATTTGTCTGGGCTGATTTAAAGATGGGAGAGGAAAGGAGTCATACCTTCATACCTTAGACTATTTCCCATTGCCTTTTTCATAGCCTCACAGAGTATCACTGCCTTCCATCCTAAGTGCTGCTGAACTTCCCACCTTGTAAAAGAAGTTGTACCTTAAACAGCTCTCTATCTGCGGGCCTATCGTAGTACTTGGCTCAAAAGTAATAGGCATACAAAGTACCTGTATTTGGTAAGCTCCATTGCCAGAACCTTCAGGTTGTTCTCCCTGCCTGTACCATGTACAGACCTGGCATAGGATTAGGGCTCCATGTCCAAGGCCCTTCAGTTCATCCCCCCTGCCTTCTCTGTCTGGACCAGTATAGATGCAGCCCTGCATCCTCAGGTCCTACCTTCAGGTCCTCCCACAATGCCATTTAAATTTCTTATACCGTGAACATTAGCTGAAGCTTGGGTTCCCCGGTGTCTTATTTGGCTCTGTGAAATCTTTGTCTCTCTGGTCTTGTACTACTACAGCACTTGTTGATTGGCATTTGTTATTGTTTACTAGTGTGTCTTCTTAGTGTACGAGCCTGCCTCATTGTTGATATGCTTGCAGCGCCAAGGTGTCTTTTGTCTTTCTTGGTGTAGTAAGGAATTTGGTTCTTGTCCAGATCGGCTCTTGGAAGTTCATCTTTGATTTCTCTGTTTTTTTCTTGGAGTGATGGAGTATTTGTTGACACCTGGTGGCCCCATAATTTGTGCTGTTTGGGGACTCAGTTGGGTCCTGAGTCATCATCCCCTCACATGTAACTAGGAACTCTTCAATATCAGTACTATGTTGAGCTTCTTGGCTTGGCAGTAGTAGTCTTAGCATATTACTAATCTTTATTATGTATGTATACTTGAAAATACATACTCTGTTCTATTGTGCTTCATTTTTAGCTAAGCTGATGGCAACTCACTTAATTGGTTTCAAGACTTGGTTTTGGTTCATTTCTGATGAAAATTGATTAGAGTTTTATTTGCTTTCTTGAACTCTGGTTACCTCGGCCATTCTGTCCGGACCCTGAACCTGGTTTGATAAACTATTCTGTCAAGGAATTCTATACTGCCTTGCCATCCTTAGATGCAGCTACTTTGGAAGTAGTCCACTGACTCTTTAGGCCAGTAGATTATATCTGCATTTCTGCCACAACTAACAACCTTTGTATGTCTTCTCCCTCTTTTTTTAAGGTAACATTTGCCGGTCACCCATTGCAGAGGCAGTTTTCAGAAAACTGGTAACTGATGAAAATGTTTCAGAGAATGTGAGTACTGTTCAATAGCGTAGCATCCAGGCTGAATACCTTTGAGTAGCAAGGTGCCAGAAAATTCTTTTTCTCTCCTACAGTGGAGGATAGACAGTGCGGCTACATCCACCTATGAAGTGGGGAATCCCCCTGACTATCGAGGGCAGAGCTGCATGAGAAAACATGGCATCCCCATGAATCACGTTGCCCGGCAGGTACTGGAACTTGACATATGTTTTGTGTTACAGTGGGCCATTGATAGCAGCGCTGTTTCCGACTGGAATGTGGGCCGGCCCCCAGACTCAAGAGCTGTCAGCTGCCTAAGAAATCATGGCATTAGCACAGCCCATAAGGCAAGACAGGTAGAAAAGATCTTGTTTAATTTCTACTACATAGAATCCCATAACTTGATAGACTGACCACCCTGTGTGGTACTGAATGTATTTAGTTGGGGTGAACTAACTTGCTATCTTTATAGTTTTGGAAGATTTGGATTATCTTGGGGGACTTGTTAAATACAGGTAAAAGACATAAAGCACAGACAGTCTTGGCTGTGAGCCACACCTGAGTTGTGGTCTTCATTACGTTACCATGTGCAAACTTGGTTTGTTGGTACATATGACTATCTTTTCTATTTTGAAGTACCTTAAAAATATAGAAGAGCCCTGGTGTTGTTCTGAACACATAATAGCCTGTCTTGAAGACTATGGAAATAAGAGCAAATGCTTCAGTTACAGATGAAGATAGTTTTGTATCCATATTATCAGAAGATGGCAGCTATATGTCTTTGAGTTCTTTATATAAATTAAGTAGTTCATTGACCCTTTTTTAGCACAGTTCTCATTAGGCAGAAGATGAAGGATTTTATATCATTTGTTCATTTGACCCACTTGAGGCTTTTGCATATTTGACCAATCTGTTCCTTTTTGGGGAATGTGGACTTTCTTTGAGTGGTCAATGACTATATGACACTATTCTATGATACTATTCTAGTAGAGTTGTTAAAATTTTATTTTCCTAGTCTGTCTACCTAGGTTTAATAAGTGGTGTATTGTTAGGGTGCTGGTTCTTTTTAACTCACGTAATAATGTCTTGGGATGTGAGCTTTTAGCATGGTAAGCTGTTGTTCAAGTGTTCCTTTTTTCAGTGTCCTTTTCTCAACTTGGCTGTGAACTGAGTGTAGCATTAAGCTTACCTGGCTGCTGCTTCTCTTTTATGCAGAGGTCAAAGTTTCATTCTGCTTTTTAGCATTATAGGAATAGAATCATTTGCATTTTGCTTTGTCAAGTCAGGGTCATATACTATAGCCCAGACTAGCCTCAAACTCCAGGCAGTCCTCCTGATTCAGCTCCATAGTGCTGGGATGGCAGAGCTGCACCATATCCCTGGCAGAGAAGCAGAGTCCATGCATTTATAGTGTCTTTTCCATGTCGCTGCTGAGTTTACCAGCAGTTTGCCCTGGTCAGGGTTAAGGGCTGTACTGCCTGGGCAGCTTCTGTGTGAGAGTTCTGTGGACAGTGCCTCTGCAGGAGATTGAGCATGAGTACAGGGTTCTGATGGGTTTGTGCCCAGCACCGTACCTGTACATCCCACATCAAATACACTAGAGATGTTTTCTTTCTTTCTTTCTTTCTTTCTTTCTTTCTTTCTTTCTTTCTTT